CCCCCCACCCCGGGGTTTCTGAGTTACTCATTTCCTCCTGTGGGGCCCACACAGCTGATCTTATCACCCTTTTGCTCTTAAATCACCACTTTACTGGTGACAACGACAGGCGCCCAGCACCCCTTACACCATTCCTCCACACCGTGTCCCTGGGGCAGCTTTGGAAAATTCCTGATTACAATCTCAGGTGAGAAAGAGACCAGAAGCGGCTCAGTCATGCAGGGCTGGTTTCCAGCAGAACTGGGGCCTGGGAAGAGTCAGGGGTAGCGGATTTACTAGGCGACCTTGGGCCAGCCACTTCCGCTGTCTTCTGCAAAACCCCATCCTGCACCAGCTCCATGTCCTTTACAACCCTGATGGGACATCTGTTTCTCCAAGAAGCCTTTCCTGTCCCTCCGCATCTCTCTGGGGTGGGGTGGGGTGGGGTTTAAGCAGGAGTCCTCAAGAAATTTATCCCTGGAACAAACTGAAGGGCTTGTCAGACACCTTGTTAGAAAGCACATCCCCCACAAGACAAGGATTTGGATGGAAGGTTCTCATTTAAGAAATGCTCACAGAGTGCCTGCCCTCTAGAATGTCAGCTTCCAGGAAAACTCAGTGGCCAGGTGACCACCAAGCCCTTTGAGGTCGAGAGCCAATCCTGTGTGCTTTAAGCAAAGCGACTCAGTTCTAGCAGCTTCTTTGTGACTTTGAACACAGTACCTGAACTCATGGGACTGGTTCCAAATCATCAAAACGGAAATAGTACCTACACCAGTGACAATGTTGGTTGTGTGTCCTGGGGCCCTTGGCATCCCCTGGTTCTCAGAAGTGGGTGAGCAGGGCAGAGAATGAAACTGAGAAACAGCAATCTGAACACAAAGCCTGCATCACGGGGGCTGGCCTACTGTAGCCTCCAAAGCTGAGTCCTCTGTCTTCAAGGCCACAGAGGTCCCTTAGCACATACTATGCTCCACCTGCATAGCGAGCACAGGAACTGCGCTCATGGGTGGGTTACAGTAAAGGAAGGAGGCTGCCCGGGGCAGGGAGAGCAGAGCAGCATGTGGTGAAGGGAAGAGGGGGTAGACTGAATATGGGGTATGTGGGGAGGGGACAGAGGGAAGAAATGGGAGATGGGGTTGGATGGGGTCACATTGTTTCTTCCTTCCACACACATTTATTGAGTGCCTACTGCATACC